TTCAACAGGTCCCTCGGCGCATTTGCTGCATCGACAGGTTCAGATATAAAATTAAGGTTCTCGCTGCGTTTCGACGCTTCTGTCCAATCGGGTATATGAGGATGCAAATCTGTTAACACAAATTGAACTTTTCCATATCTATCGTCGCCATTGACAGGACGTGGTGAGCGCAGAGCGAGTCCGTCTATCTGGTTCTTTGGCGTAGCTGCAACTTCGGCATATGAGACTTCATGGTTTGAGATTGATGAGGTCGAGGCATTGGTGGTAGAAGTAGAGGAGTGGTTCAAATGTGCATTCATGTACACTTCGATATAAGGAGTAGGACCCCCAGCCCCGGCACAGAAATCGACATAGGTATAGGATGTGACGTTGTTGGATAGCACTCGAGAAAGGGTTGTGGCGACTAGTTGAGCGGGGGAGGAGGGTTGGATGACGGGGACGCGGAATGTCCAGCAGAGGGTTAGGCAAGATTGAACCTTTAGACGGAGGTATTGAGGAAACCTGTGGAAAGCTGTTAGTCGTAGCAAGAGGTGGGATGATGATGATGGATCAATGAAAGATGGGAGAAGTGTGGAGCTTGGAGAGCTTGTCTTGAGCTGCAAGGGCAAACAGACCAGGGTTGATCATTGATCTCGAATAAATGAAGTCGTGGACAAATGAGTACCATTTTTCCTTTATGCTTCCTCGTATCTTCAATTCGATTACAATGAATATCTTAAGTTGTATAAATACCGTCAACTGAAAGATGTCAAGTTGTAACAAACGAATGATGAATGGTGTTGTATCCGAATAATGAGACATGAAGCTTTATCTCTTATCCTCACAACGCTAGTTCTAGCTCAAAATCCGGGTTTCTTCATTCCATCCTTATGCACATTGCATCACCACATTTTTGACGGTTATGATTCTTTGTCTGATGTCGTACGAATTCGAAGGAAAATGTTCATCTCGATAATTGTATCGATTGTCATTGCGATTTGTTTGGGGGGTTCTTTGTATAAAGGTTCGGAGATTAGGAGGAATGGAAAGAAACTTAGGTAAATAAACACGAATTTAGCACGAAATCACGAGGTTGCCACATCTTTTAGTGAAGATCTCACATAACATTGAAATTGCGTACGAGTGTACATTCATTTGTTCTTCCTGTTGACATCCAGCATCTCCCTCACGGATGTCCACATCGAAATCTTTTTCCTGGTCTCTTATCAAACTAATCAACCATCCAGACGACCACCAAATACACTACCATTGGTTGGAAATGGTATCCTCTTTCTCCAAGCTCGTCACAAGCTCTTTTCCTGGTTCGTTAAGTGCGAGCGCGAATTTGGATGGGAAACATTCGAAATATCAGTTCCTTCATTACCACCCGGTGTTGTGATCAATGATCCGAAGAATCTCGAGTTTGTTTTGAAGAATGAAGGCATTTTTGCAAAAGGGGACTTTTTCAAGAGCAGATCTTGGGATTTGTTCGGCAATGGAATTATCAATGCTGATGGAGATCTATGGAAAGTGCAGCGAAAAGCAGGCTTGAATTTTCTTAATGCTTCAAATCTGAAAGTTCTTACCGATGTTGCACTTCCAAAATATCTAGAGGAGACTCTAGCACAGCTTGGGATTGTAGGAAATGGCAAGACCATTGATTTGGAGGCCGTGTTCCATGAATTGACTACGAAGCTTATGGGTCGAATGGCATACGATGTAAGGATTTAAATATTCAGAATGCGACTAGGAACTTTTCACTGACAGTGTTAGATGGACATGCGCTCAGGTGACCCATTCTCGTTAGCTTTCGAACACGCATCCGGAGCTACCGGCGAAAGGTTTCAAAATCCTCTGTGGCCTGTCACCGAGATGGTATTTGGTGGTCGTTTTAGATCTTCAATAGCGAAAGTCAAAGCCTTCGGTACTGAGATTGTGTCGAATGCTGTTAGGGCCCGACAAGAGAAGTCTCTGGTGAACAACGAGCAAAACTCCTTGGATTCTATTTCTGGCAGTTTAATCAATTCTCTATTGGATTCAATTGACGACCATGAAATGGTAGCAGATGCAGCCCTGAATTATCTCTCTGCTGGTACGTATCGCATCGAATTGCCGTGTATCTATTCCTCAGCTAATGATGCCTAGGCCGTGATACTACTGCACAAGCTTTGACGTGGGCATTTTATCTTCTAATGCGTCACCCAAGAGTCATAGACAGTGTACGTCAAGAAGCAGCGTCTCTTACTAAAGAAAGTCCCCGCATACAGTCGACAACATACAAGCCTACAACTGTCCCGTATATTATGGCTGTTTTCTATGAAGCACTGAGACTTTATCCACCGGTACCATTTGAAATCAAGCAATGCGAGCAAGCGACTACACTACCCGATGGAACCTTTCTTCCTAAATACGCTGTATTGGTCTGGTGTCCATGGGCAATGAACAGGTCAAGGTCGATTTGGGGTGAGGATGCTGCTGAATTTAGACCTGAGAGATGGCTAGAAGATGGCGTTATAATTTCGAAGACCGCTTTTGAGTATCCAGTATTCAATGGAGGACCGCGTACTTGTCTAGGAAAGAAAATGGCAGAAGCTGTGGCTGCTCAGGTAATTGCAACATTGGTTGTCAATTTTAACTTCTCGTTGATCGACCAGAAAGAGAGAATTAGTAGGAATAGTCTTACTTTGCCCATGGAGGGTGGGCTGCCGTGTAAAGTAAGTATCATTGCCTCTGCATGAAGCATAAACCCATTCTCAGAGCCTTGATTGTTTAATTATGGAAAGAATCCTTTCGGTATCTTATTGGCAGCGTTCATTGCCCATTCAACCTCAGTCATGAATCATGAATGTCCCAATCCGGGCTGAACAATGTTATTCGGCGTTTGACCTAGATCTATTTAATCCCCGAGTTTGTGATATCTTGCGCAATATTTCGACATTCGAGGCTCTACTCCTTCTCATTGATTAATACCATGTGAACACAAATAAACATTCAAGAAAGACCTGAGTTCGTCGGAGAAGTGTAATCAAGGATGTTCTGAATTTGTTCCCTTGTTCGGCAAATCAACCAATCAGATACGCACTTATCACTAAGTCGTCAGCGTCATGTCAGCAAGTGACAAAGACAAAAGAATGGAAGTCCGCGGCCGCTTTCAGATTTTACAAACTCTGGCCAGCATATGCTTTCCATATTGGCATAATTCAGATATGGGTTGCGGAATGTACCCCGTAATTCTGAAGATAGACGTGTATAAATGTTAAGACATGAGCCACCTAATCGATCTCCATTTGCTTGATATAATCACGCATCGATACTCAACAATGACTGCCGTGCACCTCAAAACTATTAATGCCGATGGCGTCGACATATTCTATAGAGAAGCCGGGCTCTCCAATGCTCCTACGCTCCTTCTCCTCCACGGCTTTCCTAGCTCGTCTCATCAATTTCGCAATCTAATTCCTCTTCTATCTAAGAAATATCACATCTTAGCTCCAGATATTCCTGGATTTGGGTTTACTACAGTTCCCGAAAGCCTCAACTACAAGTACACATTTGATACTCTAACCACTTCCATCGAGTCTTTCTTGCGTGAACTAAAAGTTCAAAAATACTCAATCTACCTCTTCAACTATGGTGGTCCAATTGGACTTCGTCTTGCGATTTGTCAACCAGACGCCGTACAATCAATAATCTCCCAGAACGGTAACGCATATACCGAAGGACTTGGTGGTTTCTGGGCCCCCCTCGAACAGATGTGGGCAACCAGGACATCTGAGGAACTCGCCTCTTCCAGAGAATCCCTCAAAAGAGTCATCTCCCTTGATTTTACCAAATGGCAATACGTCACCGGAACCCCAGAAGCCAATCTCCATAAAATCGCACCAGAGTCGTATACCTTGGACTATGCTCTAATATCCCGTCCTGGAAACACGGAAATCCAACTTGATCTTTTCTACGATTATCGTACCAATATTGAGTTGTATCCCGAGTCTCAAAAATTCTTCAAAGAGTCAAATGTACCGATTCTAGCGGTTTGGGGAAAGAATGATGAGGTTTTTGTTCCGGCTGGGGCGGAGGGGTTCAAGAAGGATAGTAAGAATGTCGTGGTGGAGTATTTGGATGCGGGACATTTTGCTCTAGAGACTAATGTTGAGGAGATTGCGGATGCGATTTTGAGGTTTAAGGAGAAGTTTGGACTTTGAGAGGATGGAAAGACGAACAAGTTTGAGGTATTTGAGTTGGCTTTTCGAGTAGACAAGGGAGGGTCAAGCTGGAAGAAATGTTTCAAATTTTTCAAAGCAATCAAGATTTCTATTTATCAGACAAATTGTTATCTTGATTGAATTTATGGAATTTGAGCATGACTAGCAACTCTGCCTTGTTTCATCCAATGTTTTCGGGGCCGCTTTCAGAATCATGTCTTTTGTCTCTAGGGTCATAGGGAAAGGGTGCGATAAGTAGATGTCTATATCCTTGAAGTATGTGATAATGTTATTCGATTAATAGTCAACAAAGGGACTTGCTCTATTTCTCCATACGTTACCCATTCGGTAGTTACAAATTCATGGTTACATTATCTTCACATCTCTATCATTATGTAATGAGATCAAGTGTGATAAGTCTTTTAGGCTGATTTTGAATTTGTTGACAAGTAATCATCTGGTCACAATGTGTACTTCATATAATCAAAGAACCTGTCCGTATCACTTCAGCAGTGCATGGTAGTTCCAATGCATTGATTGATATTTTGTATATTGTCACTCCAGGCTCAAAGCTACGAAGCAATCTAACACTCGTGCATTTAACAACTCCCATGTGAAAGAATGAGCGTCCAGATCAATATCAATACAAGAGTATGTGTGCCCTCTCTTATCGTGACTTGATGAATCTTCGATATATCATAGACTATCAAATATTTCACCATGCATCAAATCTGTCATTAGAGGGCGACTTTTTTGAATATATTTCGGAACTGGCCCGGATTCCCCGTGCCTTTTTTTCTTGATCTGAGACGGCTCTACTCAATATCTTTTGACGAATTTTCGTCGTGAGATTTCATAAAGTTTTCTTTTGGCCGCCTCAAAGCCGTTTGCAAAATGGTCCATAGCTCCTCCTCCAAAACCAGTGGTTGTATTTTGAAGATCCCCTATTTGCACCAGCTCTGATGCGTCTTGCTGAGATTGGTCCTCGAAGAGCGTGGCTCTAATTTTAAGCTCATGATTCCTCAATTGTTTTAGACGATCATCCAGCTTCTCAAACCTCAAACGAGCAACGTTCTTTCGAGATTGATATATAACGTACCGAGAACAGACAAGGTAAAGAGAAGTGAAGATTGCAGTGTGAATTAAGACAATGAGAGCGATGATTGGCACGGAAACTCGTCCCCGGTCGGCGGTTTTGGTAATGTAGCAGGTGTTATCATCTTTACTTGTGGAATTTTGTATTAAGGAAATGGTGGCAGGAAACGATGGTGGAGTAGGGCTCGAACTCGCTGTGTAAGAGGAAGATGTGAGATCCATCTCTTCGTGTGATGTAATGCGTGACTTCTGAGGTTTAGATTAGGTGGACTGAGATATATTTCGATGTGATAAAGATTGAAGTTGAGATTAAAGTCAATTTCTGAGGGTTTTACAGGAATAAATATCTAAATGAACGCCGGTTTATGATTGGGTTCAGAATGATATAGTGGACCTATCTTTTTTTAGGGCAAACTCAATTGTTTAATTCATCCTCTAGATTGGTTAGCTCTGATATTAAGTGTGCTCGTATATTTCGTGACATAACTTCTACGGTTCAAGTGTAGACCGGTTTCAGAGGTATCTGGGTTAGTTAGACTCTACAAGACCTTAATCGTAATCCTCCTCAAGTGTATACTTCTATGTGTATTCTTATAGAATCTATCTCCATAAAACTTTACATCACTATCTTCTCATTATTTTCCAAGAACATCTATCGGCATCAACTTCATTTAGTACTAGCAAAGTTACTCCATCATCATCTCCCTGTTGCAATGATATGTGTGCCAAGCAGACAAAAAAGTCAAGACAAAAGATCTTCGAACATTCTAGCGAAGAGTTAAATGAAGGATTGAGTACAACTAGTAGATATAACCATAAGTCGGGTACCCCACTTTCGGACCACTCTTTTTTTAGGTTACTTTAAAAATTTACATTATATAATATTAAAACATTAATTATTCAATAATTATTTGGTATTATAATAAATATTTGAGAATACATTTTCATTATTATTATTAGTATCTTTTATATCAATTTTATAGTTTTTTATTTCAATTTATATTTCTTTAATCTTTTTAATCTTAAAAAACTTCGAATTTGGATTAATTTTCATTTTATATTTCTTTTTAAAAACGATTTATTTCAATTGATACTTTAATTGTTTTATTTAATATCCAAATTGCAGAATTTTATAATCCTTAATATCGAATCCCTTAATAATCTTTCTAAAAAGCTAGTGGTAAATATAAAGATTGATTTCTTTACTTCAAAGGAATATATATATATATAATCTTAAATCACTAGCTTTTTAAAGCATTTTAAAAGTTGAAATTACGGACTTCTTATTTCATTAATATATAGAATTATTATTAGAAAGTAAATTCTGATTTGTAACTTTTTTATTATTATTTTTAAACAATAATTTAAATATAATAGGCTTAATATAATTTAAAGGTTATAAATCTAAAGCTTTCCATCCAACTAATATATTATATTCTGTTAAATTATTTAATTATGTTTTCTAATAGTATATAAGGAAATTGACCTTTTCAATTACTTTAGAATTCAATAAAAAGGCTAATTTATTAAAATAATACTTATATGCTTTTTTGAAAGATAAGAAAACAAATAAATTAAGAGGTAATAGGATATATAATATATATAATGAAAGGAATAAAAAGTATATATTATACTTAAAATACTTATATATAAATTCAGTAGTTTTATAACTTTTATATTTATTTAATATAAAAAGTTTCAGTTTATTCAATGAGGGGGGGCTATTTAAGATATAAAGATCTTTTTAAATCATTCTAGGGCAGTATTATTTGTAATTCATTTATTATTTATAATAATGAAATACTATTTTTTATAGGGTTTCAAATCAGCTGGAAATCATTGTTATTATACTGATTTCCTTTTTAATATAATGAAAGAATTAAAAGCTTTTTTTATAGTTAAAATGTATTTTATAAGTAATATTCAAGTTTTAAAATTAAGCTCCTTTTTTTAAATAAAATAATATTTTAAACTTCTTAGAACTAGTCTATTTAATCCCTAGTTTTTTTGTATATCTACTTCATTTATATTATAATAATATTAAAGCTTAATATAATAAATTAAAAATAAATTCAACTTTGAAAATTATTAATTAATAATATCAACAATTATACCTTTAATATATATTAAATCAATTTTAATTTATCTTTTAATTTTAATCTCTAAATTCCTTTAAAGAAAATTCTATACCCATCATTTTCCAAATATAGAATCACTTCCTCTAATATTAAAAAAGTGCTTCTTAATTTTATAAATTTACTAATATATAAAATTAATACTTAAAAACTTTTAAACTAATATTTAATCTATTAATTATTTCTTTTATATTAAAGTTATCTTTATATATATTATATATCTTTATTATAAAATAAATAATCATTTATACAATTTTGAAAAATAATTCTTAAAATCCTATAATTTAAAGTAGTTTATTAGATTGAATGCCTATTCATTACCATATATAAACCCAAATTAATATCAATTTTAATATATATTTTAAATATAATATAAATAATAATATATTAAAATTTTAAATCAATTAATTCAAGAATTATAAAGTTATTAAAGATTTAAAATAGAAGATTGCTTTCTATAATGAGCTTTTTTAAAGTGGTTTAAAAGAGGGGTGGCCCGAAAGTGAGGTACCCGACTTATGTGAGTGTGTGGATTGACTGGTCACCTCCGATTTCTCGAAATTTTTAGCAAAATCATTTTTCAATTGTTCGATATCGTAATTCACATTTTGATTGTTTCATTTCTATTGAATAATCGTAAATATTCCTAGGATGTAAATACCATTTGATACATCAAGGAATTCAGAAGTCCATCTTTGCAGTGTCCTATCAGTCCGCACACCCACTGATGGACGTGGCGCTATGATCAACACTACATAAAATGGTGCTAAGGGCTTTTTTTACACTAAAGCCTGATCACGAGGATACCTTAGTTGAATTGAGCTAAACTTAAGAAATAATTATATTTCCATTGAAAGCTGTCCCTAGAAGACGGCGAAGATGTAAATGCTGGTCATACACTTGGACAATGTTAATAATATTCTCAGATCTCGCATTTATGAACTTCGCTTGTCAAGAATTCGTTCTAGAGAACGTGAAACGGAAGTCTTCTGCCAAGATCTAAGCGAAAAGCTGTTCAAACAACCGCCCGACCAATTTCCGCCATACTATTAGCTCTAATCCCTGGCTCGCGTGAGCTTTCACCGGTAACCAGCACTTCATTGATCTCACGACTACTTCCTTCTGTCTTACTCCTCGTAGTAGCACTACTCTGACCTTCAGTATTCTCTCCCCCTTTTCCACCCGATTCCCCAATTTTCCTCTTCCTGACCCATCTCCACAACTATGCAAATCCTAAAACTGCCGCCAGACCCCCTCCGAGTCCTAATCCAAACCCTGGCCCATTCCGCACGTCTTGGGAAAGCCCTTCCTTCGTTTCGCCCACATAATAAGATTGACATCGAAATACCCGATTTTCATATGCTGGTGAGTTGTAACCATACTGCGCTGCGAATATCGTGGATGTGTGATCGTACACTGTACGGAGGGGTGAACAGTTAAAGGGACGATAGGTTTGTACTCGAAGGGATTCGTTCAGATATTGAAGAGCTGGAAGTGAAAGGCTGAATTTTGTTAGATTCTGGAAATGGAGAAGGCAATCGAAACGGGGCATGACGTGGGGAGTCTAGAAATCTGACGAGGAAAAAGGAAAGAACCACATACGAGCAAACTTGACCCTGGACCAATATGTCCGTCGCATTAACCAGCCTGGGAAAATTTACATCCCCATTTACTGCCGCAGAGATTGAACTGGCATTTGCCAGAACCGGCATATGGAGTCTATTGAAATTGTCAACATTGGTTCAAAGATTTGAACAGCAAGCCGCATTGGATGGAAAACGTACGGTTCAATGAAACCTTTCACATCAATATCGGCGGCATTAGTAAGAGAGTCAAAGTTAATGGGTACAGGTGATTCATAGTTTGTTTGGACATCAATAGATATGGGACTGTGTATATCTTTACCCCCGATCAAGTTGGGCATCGATAGTCTGTAATTTCGTCAGAGAATTCTTTGATTGCATACATTTGAGAGGTATAAAAGAAGACCAAGCATACATACTCCGATATATTTCCCCACGTGGTGAGGTAGTCACACGATTTTAGAGCTGGGAATGTAGCGTTTAGAGCCGGCATCTGTATTATCGCATATTGACCTACAAGAACCGGCTGGCGAATTCTAATCTGTGATACATTTACCAAAAACCCAAAATCTATGCTATATTGAAACATTCAGATTAGAAACTGATATCCTCTCAAATAGCTCCCTCCATACTTAAACCTCGAGTTTCTAATCAAGACCAAATGGAATCACATACGTAGAGACATTCCCATTCAACTCTAAAACCCCCGCACTTTTTAGCCCGGGAAATCTCAAAGTACTCTCCTTATTCGAACTAACCGTCACATTCCCCACTGCCTTCAAGGCTCCCATAGACACAAAATCTAGATCCCAGGTTGTTTGATTTAGATCCAGACTACCTAGATATTGCAAATCATCTAGTACAATAGAAGTTAAAACAGGCGGACCAAATTCATGATAGATAGATATAGAGCCCGTGATATTAATAATGTTAGAGAGGGAAAATGTGCCTGGGAAGATGGAAGAGATCTGAACGGACGTGGGAAAAGTATCGCAGTTGAGAATATTGGTGATTTGAGCAGGTTCGCGAAAAATGGTGGTGCTATTTGTAAAAGTACAGTCTCTAGCATGGGAGTGGGCGATGATAGTAGCTAATGCTATCAAATTCAAGAATGAGGACTTCATTTTTCAAGATCCTGATCCGATGTTGTTTTACAGAAGAGTAGTGGATATAGAAATGATAGACTCACTGTGGACTTCCTCAGGTTATCTCCAGATCTACAAAAATGATAAGAGGCAATCCACTTTTTACATCAAAACCCCTACCGCCAAGTTTCAACCTCACATACGCTCATCAGAAAGCCTAACTCTCAGCCCTGAGGCACAGTAGCCATACCTGTTATCACAACCCTCGAGTCCTAGAGCGCACGAAACACAAAAATAGCCACCAACTTTCCCACTTGCAAAACGAAACTAAAACAGCCTGTTCATTCTTTCAAACATCCAAAAGTTGAGCTAATAGTGCAACAGCAAACCAAACAGTTAGACTGTGCCTCTTCCTTCCCTACCTATCTAAAGCCAATCATCCGCTCTCGCTTAACTGAAAATGTGGGTGACGTCGAAAATGAAACAAATCTTGGCAAAAGAAATGGTGGCTATGCTAGTTTTTGGGGAATTGAGATGAAAATCATGGGATGGACTTTATCTAGACGACGGAGTGGGGGCTAGGAAGAAGAGCCACGTGTGAAATGTGGTGTTTTTCATTAGCGAAGAAAATGGCTGGTAGAACTTTTTACAATCCAAGTGAATCGAGACGTTGAAATTCGAGTATATACGGTTCTGAGCAACTACTTGTGGGTATGGAGCCTCCAACTAGATTTTCTGCCAGGTATTATCCTGGCTTCCCCATTGTCTCATTTGAATACCAACATTGAAATATTGGGTTCGTTGAGTCGTGTTAATAAATGTAGAGAGGTCTAGTTTGAGAGGTTCAGTAAAAGCCCCAAGTAAAATCTCAACCTCGACGAACGCTTTCAGGAGTTTTGTGTTCGAGTCGGTGCCCATTTACTGGAGCCTGTGTGCCTAGAAGCGGGAATGGAAGTGCCGACACAAAGGGGGAACCTCTTGTAACGTCCAGCTCTCCCTTTCAAAGCCCTATAGTTGTCGCAATACATGTAATACAATTACTTTTATACTTTCATGAATTACCATGCAGCCTAAATATAACCATATAGTTTACCTTAGTAGAGAAAAAACCCCTCTTATGCCATGTCCAAAGTTTTCCGCAAAGACCTCGACACGATGATTTTGTTGCTGAGCTGTGAAATATTTTAGCATGTATATAAACAACTTCGTATGTAAAGATGTAACGTTTTAGAGCTCGTTCGAATCGTCTTTTCGAATTGTTATTAGAGGAACATTAATTGAATTATTAATTAATAAACTAGCTTACATTTTGTAGACCTAGTTTTGTATTTATAAGTTTAGGAAATATAAAATAATAAAATTCAATGTGCTTTAATTAAAACTTTATTATAACTTTAATAAAATCATTTTCTAAATTTTTAATCATTGTAAACCTATATTTAATAAGATTTTATAATAACATATTAATGTTTAATAAATTAATTTTGTTGATAACAAAATCTGGAATAATTTTGTAAACAATATTAATGTTCGATAAATACTCATTCGAGCTACATTTGGTGTTAATATCGCCTAAAAAATCGATTCGAATGAGCCATTAGTCCCTTGTGAAAGAGATATCTGGCTAAAGAAATCGAACCAACAGTGGGTATACGGGCTGAGCGGACACTTTAAAACCTGTCTTAGAAATAAACATTCAAAATGTAAGTTCTAATATCGAATAACTGAATAATGGATAGATTTCTGAAGTTTCGAAGTGTTCCATCAATCCATATACTTACTGGTAAACAACTTATCAAGCCACAATGTAAAGTTCGCAATCTAGATAGTCAAAGATAATACTCAAGTACAGAAGAACAAATGTATGACGAAACACCAGCCGTCCTTACTTCTACTACAGATACATGAAAAGCATAGAGAATTTGATTGAAAGATCTCTTGAAGCACATCGATTGAACTAGATGATTGTAAATTCAGCACCTTTCAAATTAGGCGATCTTCGCCTCGACTGGAAACAAGAGGAGAATATATGCCAACTGAGGTCTTGCCGACTCGTTTTCATGTTTTAAAAACATTTTAAGCTTTTAATCAATGCTTCTGCCATCAAAATCTTCAAGAGAAGAAATCCCGTGTGTCCGCGGATCCATATATTTTTCCAAAATTGCACAATATAACAAAGAACGAGCAACTCAATCAAGAATATCTAATCCCCAAGGAAAAAATCAAAATAAAGCCAGACACCAGCCGAATATATCATTCCCTTTCCCATTTCTTCGCCTCTTTCAGTGACTAACTTGATAAATCCTGAGAATGCTGCTACTTGATCGCCAGGGCTAGTCAAGCGTCTCTGGAATTCCGTAATCATGGAAGCTTAAGATTCAAGGTTCGGGCGAGAAATATTGTGTCGACAGAATATAAGTATTTGTGACGTTTTTATCCTTCATCAATTTTCGTTGGTGATACCTATGTTGTATCATATATTTACCAAAGAAAAGTCGTTGAGATAAAGGTTATTCTTGTTATGGACAATTTCGACTATTCTATGTAGAGTCTTGCATATCATTGTTGAATAAGCTATTAACGTCGGAAAATTGATTAGTATGAAATTGCTAGAAATATTTGAATATATAGAAATATGAATCCTCTTCCAATAAAATTATGATATTATGAGTACAATTGACTTTATAAAAGGAAAATGATATAATCACTATAAAGATCCGAAACATTCAGACAATAAAATGATCTGAACTAGCACATACCAGACCCCAACTCAATAAACCCTTATTATATTATTTAATTTATTCCCTACAGAAATTCACAACATACGAGTACATTATACATCCCTCGAATCACAAGCTTGTAAATGGGAGTTGTAATTCTTCTTGCCGCCCATTGTATTCCCAACAAGGAGTAAGCAACTATAAGCCCCTGATTTCATCAAGGATTCCATTTACACAATCATAAATCTTCCCTCCCCGACTAGTTTTTCTACTTCATCTATTTCTACAAATTATACAATCCTTCCCTCAGACCCTTCTCCTCACACCATCCATCTGCACCAATCAAAAAATTCTCCAACCAATCTCCAGCACTATCTCCTCCTTTTCCCCTCTTTCCTCCCTCCATATATCTCATCATCATCATCTCCTGGTCGTATACTTGGCATCCCTCTTTTAGCGCCCCCTTTGATATCTCCTACACCAACCCGTTCCGGATATCTCCTCTCTCGTTTATTTCTCGTTTCCTTTCCTCCATGTCGACGGATATATCCACCGACCGTTTTGTTTTCCCGTGATTCATGATCTTTAGATCGACTTCGTTTTGCTTGTCTTTCTTCGATGCTTGGCATTCTTTCGGGTCTCCGAGCATCGTTATCAGTCATTTTCATTCGGTCTACATCTTCCTCTCCTATTCTTCCAGCACCACTTCTCTCCATCTTCCTCTCTTGACTTCCTGGCATCCTCTCTGGTGTCCTCGTATCCCTTTCTCCAACCATCAATCTCTCACCCGAACTCAAATATCCTTTCCTCTTCTCTCTTTCCCTCCTCACACTCATCGCAGCAGCCAATCTCAACCCCAGTTGTCTTTTCCTCTGTCTATATGTTTCTTTTCTTCCTCTTTTCCCTCTTCCACGATTATCTTTCCGTCCGAAATCTCTCTTTATTTCTGCTTTGAGTACTCTCACTTGTTCTTTCAGTTCCAACTTCTCCACTTCTATCTTAAGTAGTCTCAATTTCTCTTTCAGTCTTCCCTTCTCTACTTCTGCTTTGAGTAGTCTCACTTCCTCTCTCAGTTCCTCCTCCAATTTTGCTTCGAGAAGTCTTAATTCCTCTCTTAGTCCCGCTTCCTCAACTTCTCGCTCAACTCCCGCTGTCAAATTCTCACTAATACTAATATCATGACTCCCTTCCATTTCTGTATCTGTTTCCACTTCTAAGTCCTTCTTCTCCATCTCCTCTTTCTTGTTCTCCACATACACATCCATTCCCACATCCTCCCCACTCTCACTCCCCTCATCTCCCAAATCCCCATCCTCCCCACTCAATCTCTCCACCTCCTCACTTCCCAAACCAGAAGCATCCCTCTCCCTCTCCTTCTCTCCAGCCCCCAAACTCAAACTCATACCCAAGCCCACCATCGGCGTCACAGGCGGCGTAACCACAATCCTCGGCACTCCACCTTCCTGTCCCTCAAGATCCCGCAACGCCAACCCCAATTTAAAATCAAACCCTCTCCTCCCTTTCACACTCGGCGAGAACGGTGGTGTAGAGAGCTGATTACTAACCGGACTCAACGGTGCACTTTGGGGTAATGGCGGTGGAAAATTAAGCCCAAAAGCTACTTGTAGCGCTTTTCGATTCGGACTATCAACAGGCCAGACACAAAAAACAACCTTCCGAATTCTTTTCCGTCGTATAGCGCCGAAAACAGGATGACGCAGGAAGTCTCTCACAGTACCTACGGCAATGCGAGCAGCGAGACGGTGGGGGAAGGATTTATGACCCGTGGAGATAGCTGGGAAAGCGACGGTTATACCTGTTGGTTTGGGCGAGGATTGCGGAATATGATGCTTCGAAAGACTGTGAGAAATTAAGGGGACGGATGTGGATGATATAGATGATGGGAGTAGTATTGGCGGAATCGATGTAATCGACGGGATAGATGTACTTGGCAGCAGAGACGGAGACGGAATAGGCGAAACACCAAATGCATCTAAGCTCATATCACTCGGACTCGCTAGACTCGCTGGACCACTCATACTCCCCGCCATATTAACTGTGCCGAAACTTCCTAATCCTCTTTTCCTTGACATGTCTGGTGTACTTTCCCTTTCTGCTGACATATCCTCATCTGTATTTGGCTCTGTCTCCGCCATGATCATATCTTCTCCTGTGGTCGTGGAGAACACTGCATTCCCAACAATTCCTTTTATTGTTGTATTCGACGCAATTCCCTCCTCCTCTTTCTCTTCTTCATCTGTTTGCCTCTCTGTCTCCTCTCTTTCTTGCCTCTCTCCCTCCTCCTCCCTCTCCGCAATCCCCATAGCCTCCACCAAAGCCCCCCGGTAACAATTAACCAACAACTGTTTCACCAACGGCGTACTATACGCTTTATCCGCGAAATTTGGCGCGTGCGTATGAATAATATATTTCGGTCTTTCATGTTCCTCCCTTCCTTCCACTTTCCCATTCCTCTCTTTCTCAGAACCACCCCCGTCTCCCAATCTAAAACTCCCACTCACTCCGCAAGCTCCTGCATTCAATCCTTCCTTCCAATTCTTTTCTCTCCACTTGGGCAATTCCTCCCCGGCACTTTTATCGATTAAGCCGGGGAGACTTATTTGTGGTGTCTCTGTGCCAACACTTATACTCATATCCATCCGGGAAGGCGAGTCCACGAGCCCAGAACTCGCAGTCCCAGAACTCGTAAACCCCGTCATCGCACCCTTCGCACGCATGAGTGGATAGGCAGACGGCGATTGAGAAATGGGATTTACGATGGCGGTGCAGGGATATGAAAGGAGAGAGACGAGACGTAGTTCGAGGGGTGCGAGGGGATCGGAAGAGGAGGAGAGAAGGAGGCCTTGGGAGAGGGGGAGGGGTAGGGGAGTTGAGGTTGAGGTTGAGGTTGTGGATTTGGAGGGAAAGGAGAAGGGTGGTTTTGTGTTAAAGGGGTTGGGGGTTGGTGAGGTCATTTTTGTTTGTTGAGCGAGCTGGATTCGATATATTTGTTGGATTGAGGTAGTGGGTAGGATGGAATAGAAGTTGTAAAACATATAATGGCGAACAATATACCAATCACCTCAAAACCGCAAATCTCATTTCTTCCGAAAATCGTTTGTGATAACACAGCACTTCCAGCACCACTCTCATCATTGACTTGTTTAATCAAAGCAACACAGACAAAAACAAAACCACCCACTCACTCACCCATCCCATCCCATCCCATCCCATCCCATCCCATCCCATCCCACCGAACCCACCCTTTCAAACCATCCATGTTCTCTTTTCCTTTGTATTGCGAGTACCCCAGACCCGTACCGCTAGCAAAACCAACACTAGTGGCCCCAGGAACAAAGACGCATTTCTGACACGCGGGGATATGATGGGTGGAACCGGAAAGAACTGGGACAAAGATCTTGTCTTGGCGTTTGGGGTTTTGTGGTATGGTATGTGTGAAAGTATGGTGTGTGTGATTGGAGAATGGGAGAATGAGTGGTATTGTATGTAGAATTGGAGGATGTATATGAGGATGAGGAGTTGAGGAGAAGGGGAGAAGGAACTGCGGAGAAGAATGATGGTTATTTCATGATGGTGGTGATGAGGGTAAGGTAACCTTATTTTTGGAGGATACTACCTACTGGAAATGTGAAGGGAGAGTTAAAATCAAACTGTTGATTTTCGATTTGGATTGTGCGGAATGGGGGGACAGATTTGGAGATATTAGATCTATCCGTGACTGTTGAAACAATTTCGAAATAAGATAATGCTGCTAAGCACTTTTGTTCATTATGGAAAATCAATCATCAATTCAGCAGAGCCGCCCCCCTACACTTACAATCGCATCAGCAACAAACACTACCGGTATTCAACAAGATATAATACAAAATTAATTATATGCTTAACAATCCATATATATTAAAAAAAAAAGTATACCAGAATCGAATGTCGAAGACTGTGGTATCATAACTCCAACCCCTTACACCAATCCTCTGATGAATAATCCGTACAATCCAAGTGCTGATGTCCTGATTCCATTTTATGCACAGTGTGTGTGTCCATTTATTCCATTATACCCAACCCAATTAATGTTTGATATTTAATTTTTGCTCCGTCGGTCGAATAATATCGATATCGATTAATTACTGAGACTTCCTCCTCCAAGTTCTTTTGTGACGCGATGGTAAATTGTCGCAAAGTGGCCGTCAAAATTGTATCAAGGGCTTCCCCTATCCCACACCCACATCCGTCAATCGCGCTGGATTATCGTTCCGCAGTACTCAACACCAAACCATCTAAAGCTCCTTCTAACCATTTTCCCAATTCTTCTGCCTGTCTCCTCATACCACTAATACCCACTCCACCTCCCCTCGCACTTCTCAAACTCGCCGTCTCGCTCCCTTCTCCACTTCTGATAACTTCCCTCTCGTGTCCCCCATCTGGTGACGCTGGTTGCGATATCGAAATCAACCCTTCTCTGTGAATCTGCGGTGTGGTGGTTCCTGAAGCCCCGGGTGCTGGTCCGATCGCGACGAATAATAATCCACATGCTAATAGTCGTATTACCATAATGCCCAATTCCATTTGTATCAGTATGCTTTTTGTTTCTCGAGATTTGGGAGTGCGAACATGGGATGGTTCGACATTGGGAGGAAGCGCGTCTGATACGGTTTGCGCCGGAAAGGGGGAGTAGAGCGTCCAGAGTGAGAGGGCGAGTGTACCTTGATGACGCAGTACTGAGGCGGGAGAGCTGGATGAGGTGCTGAGGAGCTTACCGGTGGGTGTTAGAAGCATTAGGGTATGGAGATGTGGTGAGATGTTGTTTTGAAGGAAGGTGGATATTCTTTTGCTCAGGAGCATGGTTTGACTTTGGGGTGGATGGGATGTCATGGTTTATTTGGGTTGATCTGATCTGGTTATTTTTTGTGCTATTGAATGAGATATTGTTAGTAAAGATTTATTTATTTGTATGGGATTGGTTGTCTGGAAAAGTATGACAAAATGTCAATTGGAATAATTCAAGACAATACATACATTATTATGAATCAGTTGTAGTGAAAGGAACTGAGTGAGCAAGAAAGGATAATATAATAATAATAAAAAGAAGTGAATTGCAATTCTGAGCTGATAAGAGGTTGAATGGCTCGGCTTGGGCGGGGAAGGTCTGAGTAGTTTATATATCGAGGATCATCTCGGTAAAGTCTAGGCTATGAGAGAGATCTCATTGTTACAACTTCGAATTTATATTCATAGCAGTAAGTGTATTGTAACACATGATATTCTGTTAAAACATTAATACTCATTACTTGCTTAAGCAAAAGGCTACTTAACTACTCATAAAACTTGTACGTGTAGACTCATATAAGGATATCAAAAACGAGTATGTCACTATGGCTTCTCTAGACTGACATTTGAATTCATACTTTCAGAATCCTATTTTACATACCATCTGATCTATCTGAAAAGATCTAATTATATATTACATTAAACAATAGAGATTATATACACCTTCTGAAGAAACTACTCTGCCTCCACGGCAGTGGCTCCTGGAGGGCCAGCGGAGCGTCATTCTCATTCATTGATTTGTTTTATTAAGGGGGCAAGCCCCCAAACCCCCATAGCTCGCTGCGCTCGAGTGTATATGTCATAAAAGATCGAGTTGCTCATGGGTTTTAATTTCCAGAGGTTGTAAGGTTTCAAAACACGTAGTATCATTGTGAAGCATATCTAGTACTTACTGATCAAATGTTAGTGCTGCGTTCTAAGGTGTACTAAAATATGCCCGTCACATTTAGCACCCACAAATCGAGAATCGATGATTTCTGTGTCTACCGGTACTATAAATACCCAGGTACTTTTCTGTGCTTAAATATTCAATTCTTCTACTGAGATCTTTAATATATGAAGTTTCCAATATAGAACATTATTAATCTTTAATACTTTCTCCCTTCTTCACAAGATCCATAAGCACGCACATAGATCACAAACTCTCGACGGTATCAATTCTACAGTAATTAGATTCTGCAAGCACGGACATCATCGACATCGGCAAATATGACGGTTCTTGAAAATTGGATGAAAAGTTATACACCCGAGGATCCTTTTTCATTACATTATCTCTTTTTTACATTGGCATTTTATTTTTCATGGACGTATGCTTTCAAAGAAATCATGGAGTGTATAGTTGAAGAGCTTAGCGATGCCATTGATTTTTTCGAAGAATTACTCTTTTATTAGAGTTGAAGGAGAGGATAATCTATATGAGCTTGAGTGATGGATGGTAAGGCCCAGAATACCTTCGAAGTCTGCGTAGGTTTGATTAAGCGTATGGAGAGGTCATCTACCGAGGTATACATACTTGAATACTGAGAATTCGAGGACTCATCTTGTACTTGGTACCTGAGTGTGGATAATCCTCTGATACGATTCTTTGAACCCATGCAAAAGAATATCCTGTCTACTTTGATATACGAAGCACTCGGTACTGAAATAGTCTCTAAATACTTCGTACTGCAGCTCGGATATATGCTCAATCCACAGCTTTTCATCGGACAAGATATTATTTGCTTAGAAATATTATAAGTTATTGGATCTTTCTAACTCCCCCCACGTCATATTACCTTCGTAGACTAGCCGAAGAGAGGGGCGTGGGAACATCATTATTGTCGAAGTATTTTTGTACCCCTCATCAATACAATTGTTTCTATTCATCTATAACACCGTCAACAACTTTCGCATTGCATTCCATGTACTCCTTTCGCAATTTAAGCAGACTCATTAAACCAAACTATTTACGACAAAGCATTGTAGATTCGGGTACGTTCTCAACAGCTATACCAAAGCTACATCAATCAGCTCAATCACTCTTATCGATCCCACCTTGTACAGTTTGCTAATACTCTGCTCCTTTTATAGCAAGTAGATCATACGCAACAATGGCTACCGATACCAACACCTATAAGTTTAACCACTCGATGTACGAATATAGAATACACATCTTTTATAATTGGATGATGCTAATCCGCCAAAAGGATTCGAGTTAAAGATCCTAAGGAATCTGGTAAGTTTGTACCTCAAATATATGCACTCGAATAGCTACAATATCTAACAACTTATTCAGTCAAATTCTACGAACACTTGGGCATGAAAATGATTCGCAAGATTGAACAACCTGAAGCTAAATTCGATCTTTACTTCATGGGTTACGATTCCCCCAAAGCTCTCTCGCACGGAAACCACTTCAGTGATCGTGAAGGATTAATCGAATTGACACATAACTATGGAACGGAGAACGATGCCGATTATAAAGTCTCAAATGGAAACACTGAACCCCACAAAGGGTTTGGGCATACTTGCATATCTGTCGACAATCTTCAAGCAGCTTGTCAACGAATTGAAGATGCTGGATATAAATTTCAAAAGAAATTATCCGATGGACGTATGAAGCATATTGCATTTGCATTGGATCCAGATAATTATTGGGTTGAGATTATTGGGCAAAGTCCTGTTGAAGAGACTGAGAATATCAAAACCACTGACACCGAGACCTATCGAATGGTAATCCCTTTCCTCTGCAAAATGACATCCAGGTAACTAACGGAATTGTAGAACCACACTATGATTCGTGTCAAGGATAAAGAAAAGTCATTGAAGTTCTACCAAGAAATTATGGGAATGTCACTTATGAGAACAGCTGAAAACCCAGGTGCTAACTTCAATCTTTATTTCCTTGGTTACCCTGGTGAAAAGGGTCTTCCTACATCATCAGCCACAGCCAATCGCGAAGGTTTGTTGGAGTTGACCTGGAATTACGGTACGGAAAAGGAAGACAACTTCAAATATCATAACGGTAACGATGAGCCACAAGGGTTTGGTCACATCTGTAAGTTACAAAATTATTCTTTTGCATATGGACTAGACTAAATCTACAATAGGCGTGTCAGTTGATAATCTAGATGCAGCATGCGAAAGATTTGAAAATATGGGAGTTAATTGGAAGAAGAGATTGACTGATGGTCGTATGAAACACGTGGCATTTGTTCTTGATCCTGATAATTACTGGATTGAAGTCATTCAAAATGAGAAATTGAAGGAGTGAGCTAATTGGTAAAGGCTGGAGTGGGATACCCAAGTAGGTTACAGTATTTGGGGGTATATCAGAACTTGCATAGTGCATATAGCAGATTGATGAAGCTATCATACATTATCAACCACCAAGAACGAATAAGCACAGATTCTATCATTTCATGTGACCTTCGTAACTTCTGTGATATCTTCTTTTTACCAATGATGATTAGAATTCGAATGAACAAGGTTCTTTGGATGGTCGGGCTCTCATCGACATTCCGCATATTATACATTAGTGTATTGCGGGGTTCAATTGCGGGGTGGGGGGCTATCCATAGGAGAAAGAAGAGGCCAAAATTAATCTCCCATTAAATTCTATAACTTATTAAGTAATCAATCAATAATAAAATTTAAAAAGTTAATAATATTAAGTAAATTCTTAAATTATTTTCAATCACAAAAATCATTTAAATATTCGGTTCTCTTATTAGTTGGAATGGAACATTTGAATTAATGGAGGGCTTGACAAGTCGGCCTGTTTTTGCTCCTACGTAAAAGGGGGGGGGGGGGGGGGGGGGGGGGGGGGGTTCCGTGTCATCTCATCTCATCAGATCTCAGAAAGTTTCATAGTCGAATCAGGAGTTGATCTTCAATTTGGGTGTGGTACCTCTATACAAAAGGCCAACCTTTCCTGTTCCTGTTGGCTTTCATTGTGGTTGTTATTTATTCACTTCTTCCTTATTTATCCCATGCTTCTTGATTTCTTTCTCGATTCTCTTTGATATTGGCCTTCGACCAACAAAGAAAGGGTATCAAGTCTGCCAGGTACTACTTTATTCCTAATACTACGTAATCCTTATACACATAACCTTCGAGAAGCTTTGAATTGTTCTTCAATCAAAATCGAAAAGAACATAAAAACTTCACAATGGCACCATCAGCCTTACCAAATCTCGACAATACCTCTTTCGACTCCTCAAATTGTCCCAAAATTCTCATTCCAGAAAAAGTATCAGTCGATGGTCTTGCTCTCTTGGGCAATACATTCGAAATCCATCAACCTAAAAACCTATCACCTACAGATCTTCTCGAAATAATTCCTCACTACTCCGCTCTCATCATTCGCTCAGAGACAAAAGTTACAGCGAAAATTCTCGCTGCTGCGAAAAATCTCAAAGTGGTAGCGAGAGCAGGAGTTGGTGTGGATAATATTGATGTCGAAGCCGCGACGAAACATGGAATTATCGTGGTTAATTCTCCGAGTGGAAATATTGCTGCCGCGGCAGAACATACCATTGCGCTTTTAATGGCCGTAGCGAGGAATGTACCGGCTGGGGATCGGTCGTTGAGGAATGGAGGGTGGGAGAGAGGAAAACTTGTAGGGACGGAAGTAGGTGGGAAGATCTTGGGGGTTGTGGGACTAGGGAAGGTGGGATTGAAAGTTGCGAGGATGGCAGTGGGATTGGGAATGAAAGTTTGGGCATTGGATCCATATGCGAGTCCACAGATTGCGGAGGCAAATGATGTGCTTCTTGTGAAGGAATTGGGAGAGCTACTACCCATTGTGGATTTTCTGACGATTCATACCCCGCTTATTGCTAGTACGTTGGATTTAATCGGGAAAGAGGAATTGGGGAAAATGAAGACAACGGCAAAGGTACTTAATGTAGCAAGAGGAGGTGTCTACAATGAACAAGCTCTCCTTGATGCTCTCGAAGCGGGTATCATCGCAGGAGCCGGTCTCGACGTCTTCACATCCGAACCTCCAACTCCTTCATCCCCAGCTCAGAAACTCACTCAACATCCCAAAGTCGTTGCAACTCCTCATCTTGGTGCCTCGACGATCGAAGCGCAAGAATCGGTTTCGGTAGATGTGTGCACACAAGTTCGTGCTATTCTCTCTGGAGGTCTTCCTACTTCTGCTGTCAATGCCCCTCTGATTCTTCCAGAAGAATACAAAAAACTTCAACCATTTGTCAAATTGATGGAGAAGATGGGTGGATTATACACCCAGCATTATCGTGGAAAGGGGGTGGGAGGAAAAAAATTCGAAGTAATATATGAAGGAGAACTTGCGGGGATCGCTAACACGCGACCACTTTTTGCGGCCTTGGTAAAAGGATTGGTGGGGAGTATTAGTGAACGCGGTGGAAGAGATGTGAATATTGTGAATGCGAGTTTGATAGCGAAGGAGAGGGGGATTGTGATTAGTGAGACGAGGATTAGTGAGAGTAGGTATTTGGTTTATGCGAGTTTGGTGACGGTGAAAGTTGAGGGGGGTGCGGGAAATGCAACTGGAAATGGTAATCAGATTATTAGTGGCTATGTAAGTGATCGGGGAATTTTCATAAGTAGACTTGATCGTTTTAACACGAGTTTTTCGCCCGAGGGAACGCTGTGTTTGTTGAGGAATAATGATGAACCAGGGAAAATAGGAGTTGTGGGGGGGATACTGGGGAGAGCGGGGATTAATGTCAGGTTTATGAGTGTGGCGGCTTTGGATAAGAAAGTGGGGGGGAGTGGAAATGAGGATGGGGAGGGGGGAATAAAGGAGGAAATTAAGAATGAGGCGTTGATGATTTTGGGAATTGATGGGGTGGTGGGGAAGGAGGTGGAAGAGGAGTTGAGAGGGGAAGAGGGGATTTTCGATGTAGGGATTGTTTGTTTGTAGGAGGAAGTCGGACAGTTGAGAATCTAGGAGAAGACTATGAGGTGTGAGCGAGGAGGGCTTAATTTTTGGAGAGAATGGAAAGATGGAAGATGAAGGAAATGGAACGGATAAGTAGGAGGGAAGTAAATAGGGGATCTGGTTTCAATAGCATTTCAGTATCTTATTATTATAGCGAATCGAAGTTGGGATACCATGACTGGTATCAGTATTATGTATGTTGATACTCAGGTGAAGATGAGGGGATAAGAAGATTTCTGAGAAAACATATATCTATTGATATATATCTTTAAAATCTTTAAAATCTTGAGAATCTTCAAATCTCTGTTTTCAACTCTCTACCCGACTATCCTACGCCTCACATCCCCAGCCCATCTGTATCATCTTATCTCATCTTATCTCCTGTCATCTCATCTTACCTTATTATATTTATACACTATATCCTACCTAGTAGCTATTCACATCTCTCTACCCACTTCTCCTCCTCCTTCTCACCCACTTCTTCTTCTCCTCCTCAATCCAATCCAATCAATCATTCATTCATTCATTCGCCTTCCTTTTCCTTCTTTCTTTCTCTCTTTGTTTTCTCATCCCATCCTCTAACTTGATCAGCAGATAGGTAGATAAGTAGATAAGTGGATTTTTAGAGAAATAAGTATATAAAACCCCTAAATCCCCCCTCCCCCAAAAAGCAAATTCAAACACGAACTTGTAGTCCAGTATCCCAAAACCAGGAGAAATCGTGGGTTTCAATTCGTTGCGGTGAGGTGTACGGTCTGCTGTTTGCACTGTGGGCTGTGGGTTGTGATGGATTGTGTGTGTATTCTAGAACTAATCAGGGGAGTTTTCATAGAGGTTTCTCATTAGGGATTTTGTTGTTACATACCTTTCTTGGTTTTCTTTTTGATTTTGGGAAACGATTGGGATGGATGTGAAGGGGTGTTAGGAAGAGAGGGAGGGGGGAATGTAGTGTTATATTGTGTTGTGTTGTCGTTTATCTATTCTGTTTGGGTTTATTTTTCTTTCTCGCTAGTATTTTCATTGTCATTATTATTTTCATCATCATCACATACATAGACTTATTATCAAAGACCTTCCATTTCTTGATCACGTCGGAAAGTTATGATTTTACCATCGATGATAGATGGATGTGTGTATGTATATGTGTATGCTGTGAAATATTAGGGGTTTAAAAACGGATACTTCAAAGATGCAATCTCATCTGGGGTTCCTGCGAATCAGTCTGCTTTTTTTCTTTATGGAGAGAAACCTTAAAGGGGAGAGTGGTGTTTATCTAAGTTTGTTTGTGATGAGAGTTTGCTCACGGAAGAGGGGAGAGATTGGGCGAGGAGGAGGGGAATAAGAGGGAAATGAATGTCGTGCTGAATTTGTGTATTCACTTCCGTGACGATGGGATTTTCTCAGCCTGTTGAGATTAGATTGCAAATTGATCAGTGGAATTTTTGGAGGATGGTGATTGAGAATGGTGAACGTATTCACTCATCCACATTTAAAAATGCTCTAGATAGAAGCTCACAGATTAGGAGTACTAATCAGAGCAACTTGGCGGTGTGGTCTATATAAGAAACGCCTAGCGGTTCATTCCATTTCATTTCCCCAACGGAAAAAGACGAAGAAAAGCGTGAGCACATTTTCCGGATAATTTTGGCGTTCCAGTGTCCCAACTCGTAGGTACCATGGTTGTATTAAGCTTCCATAGGAAGAAGGTAATACTTTGGCAGGTATATAAATGGATATCTTTCGTTGGTCTTTTGGTATTTGAATTTTCATTTTCGGATGAGAGGTTTTGTTGTTGTTATTGTCAATAACTATACTGACTTCATTTTGCTATTTTAAGATTTTTGTCGTCGATTTCGTTGGGATAATGCTTTTGTGATGTTAATTCTGGAGACGTCGACTTATAATGTATATGGATTAATTAATGGAAAGGCGTGTATCTTGGGGATGTTGGTAAGTATGGCGGGTGTAAGAGAACTCACTTCTGGAGGTATGGTTGTGTTCTAAGTCGGGTACCCTACTTTCGGGCCACCCCCCTTTTGGGCCACTTTTTACATCAAAAATGGAATTTTTAATTCTTTTATTTATGAACAGAATTTATTGAAAATTTGTGTATATATAATTCAGATCGTTTTGAATTTAATCTGAAGTTTTTAGATTTTTAGGATTTTTCTGTATTAAGATCTAGAGCTTCAAAATATCGATTTTTAAATTTGTATGGAAATCACATATAAATTTGAAACTTTTATAAAATCTTTAATAACTTTTTATTAAAAATTATTAAAAATAAACTATAAAATTTTATTATAAATTTATAATATATTTATTTTGAAGAATTCAGAAAAAAAAGAAAATTTCCTATAAATAGATATTTAAAAGAATACTCTCAAAATTACAGGGATTATTTATATTACTTTAAACTTATTGTATATTATATCTCTATATTTATTAATTTTTTAATTTTTTTTTAATTCCTATATAAATTTAAATTCAAAACTTTCAAAAAGATATATAATTTTCTTTTAATGGTTATTATTAAAAAGTTATTAAAGATTTTATAAAAGTTTTAAATTTGTATGTGATTTTTATACAGATTAAAAAATTGATATTTTAAAGGTTTGAATTTTAATATAGAAAATTCTTCAAAATTTCAAAATTTCAAAATAAGCTTAAAATAGCTTAAATTATATATATTCAAATTTTTATTAAATTAGATTATATATTGATAGAAATATTAATAGGTTAAAAAAGCGATTTTTGGTGTAAAAGGGTGGTTCAAAACAGAGGTGGCCTGAAAGTAGGATGGTCGACTTAATATGAATGTATATTTCGAATAAATAGTCACTAGGACTTGAGACGAAGTTCTTATTATACTATATAGAAGCTATTTATATATATCTAGGTACCCTAGTGCGCTAGTATTAGCGTACCAATATTCTTTTGTTCAAAAAAATAATGATTAATTATTAAAATATAAACATTAAGAAAGGCTTGATTTTGATGTATTTTCAAAGTAGTAAATATATTAATATAATACACGCACTAATAAACTACGTTATTATTCCTATTTATAATCTTTCTCGCTTATAATCAAACAAGAGAATATTTTTATACCTATAACATGGTTTAACACTAAGTGTACTATATCACCGAATACACTACTTTTATCTTAATTTATACTCTTCAATTTTAACATACAATTTATCAATCATTTATTATATAATTAATAAGAAAAGAAGCTCAAATACTTTTAACTATTAAAACTATTCAAAAAGATAAAAAGTTTAATATTTGTAAAGCTGTTAAACTATATAATATAATATATATAATACTTTTCTATAAAATGAAAGGCTTGCCTTTTTATATAGAAATTCAAGTAAATAATTATAAGATTACAAAATTAAAAGAAAAAGTAATTATTTAATATATATTTGATATAAATTTAAAAGGATTTTTATTTAAATTAAAGAATATAAAGAATATAATGAATAATATTCTCGAATTAAAAAATACAAAATATATTGAGAAGCTTTAAGTGTATTAATTCGTAAAATATTGAATTGAATTAAAGATATGTTTTAATTATATTTATAATTTTCAAAAAGCTTTCTATAAGGATCCTAAGCTTTTTAAAAAATAGTTTCGATTAGTTATAAATATATAAGCGAAATATAACATTTTGAATAGAGATTTCTATAATTTCAATGAAATAGGCTTTATAATAGGGATTATATATATAGTAATAGTAATAATTAATGTTGAACGAAATAATAGAAGTAAGGTAATATAATTAGATAATTGAGAATGGGTTACAATAATAATATATGAAAATAAAGAGAATGGAATTATTCCCTTATTTCTAATAATTCAAGAACAAGTTTATCTCTTCAATTAGTATATTGAAATGAATCTTTCTATAAAATAAATTATTAAATTTATATTTAATAAGTAAACAAATAATAAAATAGATTTAGAATAATTGAAATACTTTAATAAATATATTAAGAATTAAAAAAGAGCAAATATCGAATGTTAATATTAAATGAATATAAAAGTTACAAATCAATAGCTTTTTAAGTATACTATAAAGAGAATGATATTATATATTTATATTTATTATTATATTTAAGTTATTTAATTCAATCATTTAATGTTGACTATTTTAGTAATCTAAAATGTTTATATAATGGTTAAATTAATGGATTTATTAAAGTATATATTAATTATATTTCAAAGATTGAATTCTTTATAACTTTTAAAGTTATATATAAAGAATCAATTATTTTTCAGAATATGAAATCAAAATTTCGAGGAACAGGTTTAATTCCATTTAATGTTACGGGAGCTGCCTCTAGGATTATGTGAAAATGTCTAGAGTTCTTTCGAGATGATTTAGATTAGACTTCAAATAGGAATTCAATAAAGTTATAATTGATTGTAATTCTTGTAATTATAATAATGAAATTAATAATTATTCTTGAATACAAAGCTCTATATTATAATGAAATCCATTTTTTATATAAACCTTCGTCCTTTTTGGATAGCCTGAATAGTCTATTTATTCTGTTTATTCGCGAATAGTCTGAATAGCCTATCTATCCTGTCTATCTATCACATAATACTTATCCCATAATTTATAATACTTTTACTACTTATCTAACCTATACTTACTAACTAATCTATAATTATTATTTACCTTATATTTATTATAAAGTAAATACCAACAAATATAAATGTCTATCTTTTCTCAATCACTAATTACTTACTCAATTACCCTTATTCCTAACTACCTTTTAATCTCACGATTCCTATAATACTGTTTTCGTAGGTCACAACATTAAGGCTCGTCTTTACCTTATAATCCATATTGCGGTGCGGGTACCTCCATAACATGTTGTTGAATAATATAAGATTGAAAGTATAAATTAAGGTAAAAGTGGTGTATTCGGTGATATGATGCACTCGGTGTTAAACCATGTTAAATC